AACACTTATCAAAGTTCAGTCATCACTGAAAATAAAATTCAGTCACAACTGAAAAACACTTTTTTAGTAGTGACTTAAAATTTTTTTAGTTGTGACTGAAAAATATTTTTCTGTTGTGACTGGAGCTCATATTTTTCAAACATGACTTAAAATTTTTTCAGTCACTGATGAAAAAACAGACTTTTCAGTCAGAACTGAAAACTTTTTTCAGTTACCACTGAACCCATTTCCCTGTGTATACAGGATTGGTGTCAGTTGGCAGTGGTTTGATGATTTTAATGCAAAACAACTTTGTTAATTTTTAATAATTTTTTTGCTGTTTCTGTTGTTGTAAAAATACAAAATTTAATTTTATTATCAATTTTTTTTAAAATGTAAAAAATTACTTAAATTTTATTAATTATAATTATTATCATTGTTTTGTCATCACATTTGTCGTCATGCGGCACACCGGTACAGCTTCTTGATACTTTCTGCGTCCAGTTTGGTCAACCCCGGCTTCTCATGGACTTCAATCATGTAGAAACCGGCCAACTTTGGCTCCATCGTAATCGAATGCTGGTCCTTGCTAAAGGCCCGAGGGCCGTACAGCATCACACTGTTGTAGTCGAAGGAGGNACTTTGGCTCCATCGTAATCGAATGCTGGTCCTTGCTAAAGGCCCGAGGGCCGTACAGCATCACACTGTTGTAGTCGAAGGAGGTGAAGATGCGCTCATTCCGCCGATCGTTGATGTCAAACTGCTCCAGGTCTTCGGGGTTGATGTTGTCAGGGTAGATGCGCAGGTAACTAAAGCGAAAAAAGAGATAGTCAAAGGTCAGTCAAGTGCTCATTAGAGTTTCTTAGCATTAAAAAGAAAAAACATTGGACCCTATTGATAATTATTAAAGTTGCAACTCTGAGGTGAAATTGGCCGTGAGAAGGAAAAAGGTGATAATAATACCGCCCTATCCTTTATCCTTAATCTCAAGTGCCCCCACTCTTGATTGGAACCTAATTAAAAGGGTAATTTTAATTACTCACTCATCCCGATCGTGGCGATTGTGCTCGTGGTAGTAGCCAATAGTGTGCATCAACTCGTGGACCACAGTGCCGGCGTAGTAACAACCATCGCCCAGCGAGACAAGGCCCTCGGGAAAGTCCGGGTCGCGGCCGATGGAGGCGTAGCAGCTGTACAATAAAGAAAAAAAATGATGATAAGTTTTGATAAGTTTTTTCTATTAGTTATAATAGACTAACCCTTGACCCTTGAAGAGGCGGATGTAGAAGGTGTCATCGGCGGTCTTGGGGCGGAACTTGATGCAGGTGTGTCGCTGAATCTGGCTCATCGCTTTTTGAATCAGGTCCGTTTGGCCGGCAAGGTCGCCGTCAATGGTGTAGGGAATGACGCCATTTGGCCAGGTGTACTCGTCAGAGTGGACGGCGTTTCGGAACTGGTTTGTATTGGAGGCGGACTAAAATGGGTCAGTTGGCAAAAATTGATAATTTAAAACGTTTTTTGCTTACCCTATCGTTATCGACGGCAGAGACTTTTGGTCTTGGTTTGCTGCCCGGCTTCCTTCGCACCAGAATGTCGCCCTCGACCATGCCGCGGTTGTACAGTGCCCGAATTGCCTGTTGGTCCTTTTTGGACAACTTTTGTCTGTTTACTGGAGCTCTGGAGCCCTTGTTGTTGTGCCGGTTTCTGTTGTGATGAGTTGGCGCAGCGTCGATGAAGAGGAAAAATTGAAGGAGCAAAACAGAAATGACCACAAAAGTGGCCAACAAGGTCAGCCGCCTGACCATTTTTTTTGGTTTTGTGGTGCAGAAGATAAAGATGAAAATGAGATAAAATGAAAACGATACTTAAAAAACTAACTCAAACAAAAACACAGGAAAGAAATAAAATGCGTATTAAAGAAGTAAGAAAGACGATGATGATGGTGGTGGTGTCATAAAAAGCAGCAGCACCACACTTTTATACAGACGCACTTTTGTTGATAACTTTGCTGCTTTTCTCCCACATGTGATGGGCAATATTGCTGCTGCACATTCCGATGACGGCAATTGATATTGGTGTGTGTTTTAGAGAAGAGATGAGAAAAGAGCTTCATTTCTATTTTTGCTCGTGGTAGTCGAGGTGATACCCACGGACTGATGCTAATCAACCGCTGATGATTACTGTGTTGTACAATTGAAGCAGTGAGGATTACCAACTGACAGACAGAAAAGTATGTTTGTTTTTTTGCATTTTGATAATGAGTCAGTCTGTCTGAATGGGAAAGAAAGAGACAGGCTATTGCCACTGACTGTTTGTTTTTCCTCTGGTTTAGGTGCTGTCTTTTTTTATTGCCCAGGTTTGGGTGCAGGTATCCCGTGCGATGGCACGATCTTTTTCCACCTTAAAGTGGCATAGCATCCGGTATGTTCTAAAACATCTAGAATTTTTAGAATTGTTGAAAAAAAGTTACCGGGTTAAAAAAATGAAGAAAACAGAAACGTTGCATTTTTATTCTAAAGCCAAGTTTTTTGTTTACAAAAGTTTTGTCACGTGTTTTGAGCAGCTTTTCTTTTTTTACCTGAAAACTATGAAACTGCTTCTGCTGATTCCTCCTCTTCTTTTTCTTTTCACAACTTCTTTAGCTCAAAGTGACAAAGATAATGACCATTGCCTCACCTCGCTTCCCTACACTGCCATGCACTACCTTCGCTTTGGCCTGGACCTCACCACCGTGGACGTTTTTCCGCTGAAAGACATGAAAAACGGCGGAGAAACTCCCAACTCTCAAACTCCTCCAAAACCTTTAAAATCACCCTTTTTTGTTCCGTTCACCTGCGCCAACGCCAGCCACCGCTGGGGCCCTGATCCAAGTGATAGTAGCCGTTCAGGAGTTCTGCCGGAGCAGATAACTGAACTCTACTTTTACCTTCACTCTGCTCCGATCAGCACCGTACAGACGTACCGTACAATTGAGGGCCTCCGAGGAACACTCCAATCCACAGTTCAACTTCAGGATGAGCTGGGCGTGATGGCCGGCAGTCCTAGCCTTATTTCCGGTACAAAGGACTTCTGGGCGGGGCGGACCCTGGAACGGATGGTTACGGTACGGCCGGAAATTCGTCTCCGCCTAGATGTTCCGCATGATGAAAATGACAATAAGGGAACGCTGTTTCTCAGCAAAGAGCTTAAAGCTGCAATAGAAAAGCTAAAAGGGAAGAAGTACTCGGCGGAGACGCAAAAAGAGTTCTTTGGACTTTTTGAGCAGTTTGGAACCCACTACTACCAGGAGCACACCTACGGGGCGTTTATTGTGCTGCAGATGAGCTTTGAAGACCGGTACTTTAAGGTGGTCGGGCCGAGAAAGGTAAAAAAAGAGAGAAAAATTTTTAAACTTAGAGTTTTAAAGAANAAATTTTTAAACTCAGAGTTTTAAAGAAACTCTTTTTTCCTTTAAGGCTCAAGAAATTGTGGATCAGTTTCGAGTGTACCTCGTAAAAACGGCAATCAGAAAAGAGGTGAATGTACCGCCACCGGCCATTTCCGATGATCGGGACTTTATCGAGGAGGCTCGCCAAGAGAACGTCTTCACCTTTGGCGGAATTGACCCAAGCACTGCTCTTTCCGGAACCGGCCAAGTTCTGATCCAACTTCGAGATCCTCTGACCATTGCCGACGTCTTCGACGCTGGAGCAACGACCACCGAATCAGATGATGATGATGATCTAATCGCTGATGAAGTTCGCCTGGCCCTGGACGACTACATGGCCAAAGCGGAGCTTCGCCTGCTGGTGCAATCCTTAAAGGCAGTTGCCGGGCAAAAAGAGGCCACCTGGATGCTAAAATTATCTTCCGCCGTTTTTGACTTTCAGAAGATCATCTCCCGAGCTGAGGTGATGATCTCCAAAGAGGCTGGTCTTGATGCCGATGAGGTGGAGAAGGTGAAGGAGGAGGGAGAGAAGTACATCCGTTTTGCTGAGTCATGCAGAAGTGTTAATGAGATAGTGACCATTGAGTAGTAATGAGATTAAAGTTTTGGTTTAATATTTAAAATCACTAATCTTAAAAGTGACAAAGTTTAGATAAGCTGATTCATTTTTTATTACGGTTAAAACTACTATGATTTTTTCTATTCAACCTCAGGAAAGTACCATACACTTCCGGGCCCAAAAATACCGC